ACGGCCACATAACACCACATTAAATACTAGTGTTTGGGGGAATGTTTGTGGTTCTCATTGTGCCTCTGTGATCCATGTGTTATGGTATTCTGTGGCATTTAGGGAATTGTTGGCCGTTTAAGGACAATTACAGTAAAAATCATTTGCATGCTTACTCCACTACTTGGTAAAGACAAGAAACCTTTACCTAAAATACAGTATATTATATATCTGCCATTTATGAAATTAGCCTGTCCATGGACTAAAGGTGGAAATGAGCAATTTTACTATAACTTGGCACAAACATATTACCACTTTAGGTAAATGTTTTTATGTGCATTGCCCTGATAAATAAACTAAACTAACTAAACTAAACTAAACTAAACTCAAGTAGTACTACAAGTAGGGCTAAAGGCAGCACACTAAGAATAATTAATTCCACAATAATAATAATGCAATAGTTTTAAGTTTTGATAGGGAGTAATTGTTTCATTCACACGTTTAACACAAATCCCTGCATATTGAGGCTGAGTTCTTCTCGCGAACAGAAAACACTTCATCTTGTGATGTCAAGTGGTAATACAGGAAGTGCTCCATTGTGTTTTAAATTCCATACACCATCACTAGAATAATTTCTGGATAATTTCAGCCCTAGAATTTCTAGTGTCTTCTATGTAGCTGTTACATCACAAGCATTTTGAGCTTTGGAGACATACGCAGACTAATAACAGGGTAAAAGACACACAACTGTGTAAATTAAATAAAACACAACTACAGGCATGGTTTTGATGAGGCATTATAACATGGCTTAAAGCTCACATGAGAGAATTTTGCATAATTTAGGACCTTTAAATAAGTAACACTTTGTGAATACTAAAAACAAAAAAATGATTACATCACAAGTACACATTCTGAATCCTTCCCCCAGGCCCAGTTGAGGACATGAGACTATCAGCATATAACATCTATACATTAAAAACATCTCTGTCCACTCATGGCTACAGTCCAGGTACAGCGTGTTCTTTATTATGTAGACTTGGCTTTGTCCTTTCTCAGTATTCTTGGGCTGATCATTAATATCAATCTGTCAGTGTATCCAAACGCTCACACTGACCCATGAGGCGAGGTGAGGTCTGCCCACGAGGAGGGTACACTCACTCAGGCTTGTTATTGCAGCAGGAGCCTTCTGACAACAAACCAGGCTGTGTGGTGGTGTCTCAGAGTTCAGCTTTATCATGTTCCTGGTGGGGGGTAATTGTCTGACAACTGTGCCGAGGCACTCCAGAAGAAAAGGGCTGCCTTCAAATTCTCTGCATGGATTGAAGAGTACAGAGGAGTGCGTAATGACATCATAGAGGCAATTATGTATGCTGTTTTGTGTCAGAAGTGTCAGAAAAGATTTATCCCTGGGACTGAAAGAACATTGCAACATTCTTGTATTAAAAGGAGATGGAAAAATACAGGATCTGAGTAATTGTACTGATACAACATGGTATTATTGAAACAAACTTTAGGTCTAAATTTTGCTTATTTATTCAGCTACTACTTACTGCTACTGCCACTATTATTTAATATGTACTATGGCCTACCTAATGGTGTTAGTCACTATTATTACTACCTCTTGTATAACGTACTATTACTGCAACTATTATGACTTGGGCTGCTACTCTTACTACTTCTGCTTTTAACCAGATTAATTAAATAACTTCTCCTGGGTAAAAGAATTGTTTTTGGTATGTTACACAAACAAAAATGCAAGAAAATAATTTGAAAAAGCTGTAAATGTACTTAATTTTCTGGTATTAATTATAATGGCGTGCTTGTCATTCTATTATATAAGTGTGGGAATGGCAGCTTCTTTAACAAGCCCACAGTTCTGCAACCACAGCCCTTATGAGTCCTGATAGCAGCAGCGTCCACACAGTGAAATCATAACAGACCTCTTCCTCTCTGGGTCTCACCACATGACCTCATTCAGGGTGTGGGAATCATGGCGTCCCATCAAAATACACTCCTCATGAGCTCACCGGAGAGATGGCCTGTGTAGATATACCACATGCAGCGATGACATCATATAGAGGCCACTGTCAGACAAACAGGCTTTTGTTGTGGGGCTCTCTGTCCACATTTACCTGTATAGATAAAGAAAAATACACAATGATGGTCTATGAAACAAGCATTGCACAAATTAACATGCAGAGGTACTGTTATGTCAAAGTGTGGAAGTAATTAAATATATCATATAAAAATCCACACCCTAACATCTGTGGCTACTGCTCTGACATTCAGTCTGATTGTCAACAGAGATCACGAAGCATAGAACTGCTTTTCATTAAACATCAAGCCAGCCCTTATCAGGCTTTTATTAATGTATGAGTCACTGTGTAAACACGGCAATCATTACACAGGAGGGCATCTTCTCTTGACCAGAGGCTTTAATACCTATCTATATAACAGTATGGCATTTTTAAAAATATGGTCCAAGGCGAGCAATAAAGCCAGGGATGGACAAAGATTGTATTAAGAAACACATTAAGAGCCTCACAAAAACTGTTAATGTTAACTTAGTGAATTTTAGACAGGTAAGATCTTTTATGACTCTATATGCAGCACAAATGTTTTTACACTCTATGATTCTGTCTCATATAGAGTAGTAGTAGTAGTAGTAGTAGTTTATTCATTTCATTTTGCAGCACTAAAAATATACCATAACCACGTGGTCACTTGCTGCTAGCACTCAACACTCCAGCCAGACGAATCGCTTTTTTAAAAGGCTGTAAAAAATACTGGACAAGAAACCATTTCAGTTCACCACTTCAGTATTTTAGACAAGCATAACTTGTTTAAATTTAATAATTTTGTTGATTTTAAATATGGATGTTTTATATATATAAAGATTTCCGTGACAGGATTTTATTAAAACAAAGGCTGTCCATGGGATGGGAACCAGGGCCACGACCCGGGAGAACTGTAAGGTTCCACACAGACGGACAAAGTGTGTCTCAGTCAGAGGCACTAAGTCTCCCATTATCAATAAGAGAGACTCCAACACTGGACACTTTCAAATCCAACTTGAAACAGTGGCTAAAGGAAAACCAGACTTGTGGACACTTTTAATTTAGAACTGTCACTTGTTATTGTTTTTTTCTGTTCAATTTGTGCTGTTACCTGCATATTTGCACTGCAGTGTTGTAGATATTCATTAATATGCACTGTCCCTATAAAATAAATAAATAAAAAATATATAGTTAACTCAACAATCTAAAATAATATCTGAGCATGTGACACTACCAGCATTACAACTAAACCTATTGTGATTAAAATAGCACTATTCATAACCCTTTAACCACACAGAGGCAAGTCTTTTATTCAGCCACTCCCCTGGCAAACAGTGACGTTAAGGTACTTCTTTAGCTACTGCTGCCTTTTACGACTGACTATAGGTCTGACATGTTTGTTGTGAAGGGTGAAGTGTTTGAACATTTCCATTATAGGGTGATCAAAATGTTTCCTGTGCCACTGTATACTATCTAACAACACCATACTACCAACTACAACTTCTACTACTACAGACAAAACTCATATATTACTGTTTCTACCTTGTTCTTAATATCTCAATAGCTTGAAATGCCTGTATTGGATTGAAAACATTTGTTGAACTTTAGTTGAAGTCGGCTGAGAAGACCATTCATAGAGCCTTTTATTGTGAAAAGTCCCTTCCTGTAGATACAAAATCTTCTTATTATTCCCCTGGGAATTGTGGGCGAATATTACAAAACGCTTGTGTTTACAGATACTAAAATATGCATGAGTTGTAACAAGTGGGAATTTTCCATTTCTATTAAATCAAGCAGATGTTTTGCGACGCATTCTTTTCCAATCTCAAGCTAAATACAACCTTCACAAATACACCCATCAGTGTGGAGAATAATTGTTTATGTCTCTATTTTAATTCTGCTTGTTTTCAAAGGCGAAGGCCAAAGGAACTGTGAGCCTGCCAAAGACCACTAGTGTTTAGCCACATTCATGCCTTCCAAAGTCAGCAATGGGTGGTTCTTTCTGACCACTGCTGGGGCTTGAGTGACTACATGTTACTGGACTTTCCCAGGACATGAGAATGGCATGGCAGACGTCAGCTGTCACCATGGGGTCAGCACTGCAAGCTAGACCCTTAGGAGGACGGTCCAAAACTTGAGAATTCAACTAGCCTCAGCTGCTAACGGCCCATGAGCTGGCAGCAGAGCACTGTTAAAAATAGACCGATACTTTTAGCCTCAGTGACTCCGGTTCAAAAGATCATGGCTGGACAATGGAGGAGAAAAAAGATCTGGCCATTGAGCGACACCTTTGCCCTGTACACTCTAAAAAACTTTCTTTAAAAAAAAAATAATTTTAGAGTGAGAATAAAAACACATACTCAATTATATTTGTATTTACTATATATCTATATATGTTCTGCATAGTTACCATGGACAGGTTTGAATAGCAGTAGTAGAAAAATTATAGTTATAGTAATTAGTATGACAATTATATAGTAGCCATTGTAGTAACAATGGTAGAACATTTATAATAGCGGCAAGTATTGGCGACTCAGATGTACTTTTTATTATTTTATGCCTCATTTAAAAATTTTAAACATAAATTAAAATATATTTTGACTTTTTAAATATTGTCACTTTTAATATACACAAAGTAAAATTTGAACTCATTTTTGCACAGTGAGATAACTTTTTTTTTTCTTGAATAAGCTGAAGAATTCTTAAAAAATAAAACTAATAGTATTTCTTTTTGGCTAAACTCCAAAGGCTAACATTTACTTCAATCCTGTGTTTGGTTTTGCAGTGTATAGTCTATTGCCACGGCTCATTTCAATGGTCAAGAATAGTGACGTCCCACCTCCTACACGCCCCTTGCCCATTGGCTCCTACACTCCCAATCCTCAAGCACTCCTCAAACTGGGCAGATTGGTAAGAAATCAGAGATGTGTTTTGTAGTGCCACAGCCCATAGAGCAGAGTGTGGAGAGGGAGGAGAGATAGCGAAGGGGAAGTTACAGCTGCCTTGTGCTGGAGCGATCACCGTTCCCTCCCTGACCTGAGGAACTGAACACAGAGTTTAGGATGGCTCTGGGCAGATTTCAGTAACCACACACTGCCAGCTAATGAGGTGGAGGATACTGTACAGAAGTAAGATTTTTCACAAGGACTAATTTTGCATATAACTGAGGCTGTACCACTCAAAGTAAGTCAGTTTTGTAGTTTTATTTTAAATGTCTTAGGTCTTATTGTATTTTTATTGTGTTGTGCTATACAGATACAGTAGAATACAGTATACAGTTTTTTCAGGATGATTCAGATAACAATTTTTACTCAATTTCCTGATATATTCTGATTAATATACAAAGTTTAGTGTATTCTGTAACATTCTGAGTTGTATTAATGAAATAAAGAATCATTTTGAGTTTGTACAGTTTGGGTTGGGGCGCTGTCTTCCTCATTGCGAGATGGAGTGACTGCCTTGGCAGAGGTCAAGTGCTTAGTGCATATTCAATGTATATTTGCACATTAATTCACGTATTTATTTTACATATTTCCATTTCCTTAAAATACTATTAAACATTTATAGGTAGTGAAAGGAAACTTGGTTCCATATTTGAATGAAATATCCCCCAGCGCTCTTAAACAAGTGTTGGATTAATTCTACTCACTTTAAAACATTCAAACATTATGCATACATACATTTTACATGAAGCACTTACTCACTTGAAGCAGACAAGTGCCTAGTCTTGGTATAATGTATGCACTTTTGGCAGTCTGTGTAAAATGTAATAAATCAAATCAGCGGACAAAGGTCTATTGATAAAAAGTTTGGGAGTTGGACAAGAGACTATTAATCCGTGTAGTGTAATGGTTTTAAATGGGATGTATGGTCCACCAACTCAAAATTAGTCATGCCTTTGCAGAACTGGCAGCTATAGACTACACATGGGCACTCTGGAGGCAGCGGACTATCACTCAAGGGACCATGATAACAAGTGAATATTTATGACTTGTAATGAAGCCAAGATGAATTCCATTTTATCTGCATGAGCTCATCAGCTTAAGGAGCAGACACACTGCTTTGTTCATTAGTCAAAGTCCACATCACTTTGCTTAGGTGAGGTTCCAGTTATTTAAGTGAAACTATGAAGAAAAGTAAATCTTAAAATATTAGGTGAATGCAAAATGTAGCCTCAGGTCAGCTTTTAACAAGACATATTGTGATTTGTATGACAGAAGATCACTATGAACTGCTAGTAAACCAGTACTCAAAAGTAGGTTTGTCAAAAGTACTGATATCCTCATACTAATTGTCAGAGGTGGGACCAAGTCGTTGTTTTGCAAGTCTCAAAGTAAGTCTCAAGTCTTTGACCTCAAGTCCGAGTAAAGTCCCAAGTCAAATACAGGCAAGTCCAAGTTGAGTCTCGAGTCACTGGCCCATAAGTCCAAGTCAAGTCCAAGTCGTCTGCATTGAGCTTCAAGTCATTTCAAGTGTTTAAACCAAAATACCAAATATAGCTTAGATTTTTGTAGTTTATATGACTTTTAAGATAAATTGTACTTTAAAAATCACAGCATATTTATATATGAGTATTTATAGAGTATGTAAGAGTTGTAGAACTGTTAATTTTTCCTTTTTAAATGTCTTGACAAGATCGTAGAACAAATCATTATGGTCAGAATAGAAAGAATTCAGATTTAAAAGTGCATCTCAAGTCTTCTCAAGTCACAGGCCTCAAGTCCGAGTCAAGTCCCAAGTCATTGACCTTCACGTCCAGGTTGAGTCCCAAGTCTTAGTCCATTTTATCAAGTCAAGTCTCAAGTCCTAAAAATAGTGACTCAAGTCTAACTTGAGTCCAAGTCGCGACTTGCAAGTCCCCATCTCTGCTAATTGAAAATGAAAACTATATAGAAACTCTAAAAAGAAGGAAATTACATAAACAGGACACAGTTCGACCTAAATAGTTTTATAAATGTCTTGAAATAGATTGAAATAGTGGTAATATTTAAGAAACTACTATGATTTAGTGCTGAAGATTAAATTCTATAATGTAAAAAATGTTTTTTGTAATAACTGTGGTATCAAAATTGGCATTTTCCAGCCTTTATCCTAATAAGAAAATCAAGTTTAAAATAATAGGACATTCGGTAGATCACTTCTTCTTTGTCCATATTATATACCCAAGTCACATCATGGGTTATTTTGAATAGAAATTTGCTATAAAATGATTCCAATTCAACATTAAACATACAGTCGATTCAGGTTAGGTCTCAAAAATGACACAACTGGAAAAATCAGTCGCTGAGTTTTATAAATCAGAATGGGAGCCAGAATTTGTATGTGATATTTCGAGTTACGCCGATGCTGTTGGTGTGGCTTACTGACTGTCAGAGATCCTAAGAGCTGAGTCCACCTTTCTGTCAGGTTCAGAGGCTCATTACAGTCAGTATTAGTCTTCTCTCTCCCTCTCTTCTCCTCCTCTCTCCCGCCTTTCTGATGGGTGCTCTGGGTGCATTGGGTCTGGGTGCTATCATCGCTCAGTGCTCACGCTGGACAAAGACAACAAGAGCCAGATATTATTCATTAACATTTTTGTACTTGGGCCAGCATATCCTTCTCAGCCTAACACATGCTAGCATTTGCTCTCCACAGTACGAAATGGTACAGTCTAATTTATGGAGGACTATATTGGTCACACGCTAATGGCATTTCCACAAATCATGTTATTTCATCAGTATGTCAACACGTGCAGTAGCTTAGCAGGGACAAGTTATAGTGGAACTTTGATTAAACAAGTATCCAAAATCAATCCGAAATCCATCCTTCCAAAAAACATCACTACTACTAGCAGGTCATGAGTAAATCACAAGTCTGCATTCTCCAAAAGTAGCCAGTTAATGTTTCCCATAAAAGTTCTTATAACAAATATTTGTGACTATTGACCAAAGTTGTTTACCTGGGGGATAATGACATGAAACCAAAACAAATAATGGAGTCCTATTCAAACAGTCACCAAGATAACAGGAGCACAAGCCAAGGCAACATTGATTTTGGATGACTGGTCACTGGTTTACATCATGCATTACATCTGTCCAAATGACTCATTATGAGATGGACATAGTTATCCATTGAGTGGTGGACTGGACATGTGATTGTGAGAGGAGCTTTTGTTGGCCATTGCAGTCAAGCGACGAAAGGCTATGCAACTTTTGGCACTGGGAAATAACCTAGGAATCTGAACATAATAATCTTTAGTTTGTTTTGTTTTTCTCTTTCAAAAATCCTCAAATAATCTTACGTGCATCCTCCAGCTCAAGGTAGTCCTCACAAAGACAAGCTCGTGCTCTTGAGATGGGTGATGCATGGTACTGACCCAAGCTCTTGACAGGTTATCCCAGCAGCAGTGAAGGATGGGTCAAATGCAGAGAACAGCTTTTCCTCCTAAGGGCACAATAAATGTACTTTAACCTTAATCTCAATATATCTAGGCTGCTAAAAATACCATTTTGACTTGTGACTTTTGGATACTTACCTTTCTGACTTACTGGATGATGATTTGTATAGCTAGGTAACACACTCGCTTGCCTTATTGTAATATATGTCCAGTGGAGTCTTACACCAGCTGTCACTGACACACGCACAGTTGAACACCCAGTCCAAGGGCCTCAGAGTCTTGAATTCCAAAAATGCACTTTGGACACTTTGGATATTTGACAGAACAGTGGCACTTATAACTCAAGTTTTCAGTGGTAAAAATAGGGCATCTCCAAAGCAACCCGGGAGCTATGTGAAATCATTTGATACACAGTCAGCATGTAACAGGATTTTACAGTGGGCTGATTGTTGGATGGCCCCTCACTTGAAGCTATATTACAACTATAGGGGCATTCTTCAAGATCGTATGGGAAAAATATAGTGGATATTACACCAATTGTTCTCTAAATAAGTGGTAATTGAGGATAATGAATTGGTGGGGCCCGTGTCTATAATAGTTGTATTTGTATTCTTCTAATTTATGAGGAAACTTAGAAAAGCAAGCAAAACATTTCCTCCAAAGAATAAATGAAGAATTTAGACATTGAACTCTGGTTCCCCATTCCCCATAATGACCCAGTGACATTGAAGGATGGGTCAAATGCAGAGGCGATAAAGCGTATCTCAAACTAAAAAAGAACCTACTGTACTTGCGTTGTTATTTGCATATTTATTTGGTCTACCATCTCCATTTATATAATAATTTACATAATTAAAAAGAAAAGGAACATGCATGCTTTCTTGTTTCTTACATTTATTGATCAATCTAATAATGCCTCTGAGATTTTTAAACTCTCCTTGTGTCTGACCTTGTAGTGGACAATGTCAATGGACACAGCCATAACTGGGTGTCCTTATCCATATGTTGCCTGGTCAATTCTATTCTTAGAGCACCCTGAACTTGATCTCTCTCTTGATCTTCATGCTTGAAGATGATACTCAGTAACCCAGCCATACGACTCTAGAAGACTCCATGATTCGCTCCATAGTTTATAGGCCCACTCCCACCACGTGAACAAGTACAGTTGCTAGGGGAGTCATCACCTTTTAACAGCTTCATCAAATATATGACCCAGGATGGCATCAGTCTCTGAACTTGTCCGCAAAAACATCACTAAACTGAACATTTACCTCTCATGTGTGTTAAAAACTAGTCAAGATTGTTTTTTGCACCTTATTTCACTACTACTCCTATTACCTGTAGTACATAATGTGACAACATTAGGATGTGCAGCCGTGATTGGAGAAGTTGTACCTGTTGCATATGATCCTGTCATTAGTGAAACCTTAGCTGCCCAGGCTCCAGTCGTCTACGTGAACAGATACGGTGGATGTTACATCAGGAGCATATACCAGGGCAGAGCCTGTGGGTGAAATTTAGCTTTAGTGTGGCATGACATGTTAGAAGAGTTAGCACTATAAGCTTGGAGTGAGAGGTGTCATCATCACTTACAAGAAAAGCTGTAAATGTGCAAGTGTAACATTGTAAAGTAAAGGTTTGCCAGGGTCAGCAACCAGGGAGGTACAAGTGCTCAAAATACACGAGTACTAATTAAGTTATGATCACATTATATACAATTAAATTATTGCCAATCATTCACAAGAGTACTTAAAGCCCTACTTAATTCCAGTTAAGAAAATACAAATCATTGTATAAATTGGCCCTCTTCTTCCTCTGCCTTTCTACAGACCTGACATGTAACTTAGCTGAGTGGATGCTTTGCCACCTGCTTGTCTCCATAAAGATGTTATAGCTTTAATGTTCCACAGTAGGGATAAAAACAGATCCATACATGGTGAATGTTTCAAGTCTGACTTGGCTTTAACTTTCCATCTCCATGGAGTCATAGTTGAAGTGCCCATCAGAATTCTTTAAAATACACTAAGTAGCCAAGTTTCTCACCACCTCTGCTCGTCTTTCCACTAATTGCTCCATTTTCTAGAGTAGAGCCAAAGTGTAAAATCTGACCCTGTAGGTCAGGAGCTCTCTATCCTGGAACGTGTTGCCTGATGGACCATAAATAATGTTAGATTTGCGCTCTTACATGGTAACAGGGCCCAAATTACAGATCCACTCCCAGATACACATCTCATTCACAGTTCGAAGGATGATTGAAACTCCCCACTTCTGGCCGACCCGAGTGTTTTTCTTGTCTAGATGGAAGGGCTGTATTTTATCTGTGTCTTGGAGCAGAACGTGTCAGCTAGCATTATCTACTCCTTATTTAGACAAAGCCTGAGTGAGGATATATCAGGCATCAATCACATATAAACACATTTTTTCTATAGGAGGACTGTAAAGTACAAAAGGCAGCTGCTCTTGGTCCTGTTTTATCATATTAAACATAGAAATTATTCTCCAACAAATGTGAAAACTGAAAATAACATGCTGACCACTGAGTTTCAAGCCCCTCCTTCATATTGGTATGGGAACACATGTTTTGTTGGGGTAAAAATACTCATATGGGACAGCTGGACTTGACCAACCCCATAGGATAGATTTTGCTTTAAATTTAGTCTTGGGCCTTGACTGGAGTGGAGCCTCTCATGATGTAGGACAAAGTCTAAGCCTTGGTTTTATTGCTCCACAAATTCCTATTGGTCAATAACATTTTGTGTATGGCACAGATGCCTTGAGTACTAGTGTGGGCATTATGGAGATTGGATAGGGCTCACAGTACAGACATATTGTCCAGAACTACTCCTTCAGACAGGACAAAGACAACTGTTTGGTGCCACACAGGAATGCAGGATGCGAGCTGCTGGAATTCCCATTTGCTGCTCCGGGTTCATAACAATCCACACTTCACTGACACTTCAACAAAGACTAAACAAGACAACTGTCTGCTGGCCACGTCTTTGTCCCATTAATTAGGTTAAAACATTTGGAAAAACACTCAGAGGTGGACAGTTACTGCTGCTATTATATCACCAGAATTATTCATTATTTTAGTGTGTGATCAGAGTTGCCAAGTCCACATCTTTATAGCGACTTTATATTGTTTTTCGTTTTGTACTTCCTCCAGAGAGACATTCCTATCATAATGACTGAAACACAACATGTTCCCGTTTTAATTAATTTATGTTAATTGTGTGATTAAAATGCATTTAATCAATGCTTGTTTAGCAGCAGCACATGATGTTCTACTAGCTGATTCCTTTTTGGACTTCTTTTTGCTTGTTTTGGGCTTTTCTTTCAAACCCTTAGTCTCTTGTTTCTCTCTGAAATCTGGCAACTCTGTTTGTGATCCTGAAACGTTGGTATGTGCCTCCTTGTTGGGTCATAAAGGTACTGTAGAGGGTTTGCCACAACATTTTGAACCAAGTCTTTGATTTTTGTGCATAGATAATTGTGGGAAGGTTGAGGTTCATTTGGGTTAATTGAGATAAACTAGTTATATAGGGCCAACATACTTAGTTGTATCAAAATATTGTATCAAAAAGGGATCCAGATGAAATATACATCCCCAAAAATGAAGCAGACAAGATATTTTTTCTTACGTATCACTGCTGGCATGCTTGTGTTTTATTCAACAACAAATCCATCTCCGTGCTCTTCCTTTACTGGATTTAACTGTACTAGTAACACTTTACATAGAGTCCATTTCAGTCAAATGATATCACCCCCTTTTTGGATTCTCATGTCACTGGCCCACAAATTAAAAATAAACTTTAGAGTGTCAGATGGACTTTGTGTCACCCTTTTGTCACTTGCATGTGCAATAGGAACTGTGCCCAGATCTTTTACAGTAGCGCACGCTTCATTCCCCCAGTGCCCTATCATGTCCCAAACGACGCTCATTTTTGGAGTATTTACAAATCGCAACCCTCGCTTACAACAGCATGACCCTACCTCATCATGTCAGCTTAATGCCCTGACATTTGACTAGTAAACCAATAGTTACTAACAGAGCTGTACTTCCCCGCAATGAACTGACTGAACTCTGATAGATAAGAAGTGGGCTTATGGAATGAGGATAGTTTGTACTTTTCTGGCTGAACTGAGGATGCGGTGGTTAGCTGTGGCTTTTCATGACACTGTTGATGTTTCCTGGAATTAGATTAGGATTCAAAGAAAATGGGGACAAGCCTCATTGAATTTCACTGTGATCTTAACTTCACTCACCACTATCACAGCACACAAACATTTGTCTCGTGGTCATTTGTGTTTCGGTAGCCCTGCCAAGATTCTTCATAGTACATTTACAGCTAATACTAACGCTAACAGTTATTATATACTGTACATATTAGGAATTAAGTGGTGCAGGCGGACAGTAGATATCGTCTTTCAGAATAAAATATGTGCTCTCTTTTGGGGACTTTTGTAGCTGTATGTGGTTTTATTTTCATTTAGTGAACTTTCAAAACAAGTTGATGCAAAAAACTTGACAACATTACTGGAGTAATACCATTTATCATTCTTGGTTGTGATATTATTTTGTCTATGTGGTTGTGTCTTGCTGTGCTCAGTAATAATCAGATTTTTAAGGTTTCTTGCATCATTCTGAGGTCAGGGTGCTATGACATCACCAGGGTGCTACTAGGGGATTTTTGGAGACTGTGTGTTCTGTTTGCAATTAAAATGTTGATGTTATGAAACCAAAATATAGTGGGAAAAGGTGTTAAGATGTCAATGCAATCTTGTCTTTACAATACAGTAAATTATATACAATCCTCATTCTCACCAAAGTGCAATATTTTGATCCATTTGTTTGTTTTGTTTTTTAACATAGGGGAAGGTTAGGAGAATGCAGTGCAACTAATGTGATCTCACGTTTGCAAAGAGAGTAGACAAAACTTTTCTTATGCCTTTTATACAGTCTAAATAAAATTGTACTTTCCCTTTAAGCAATAGTATTCTGTTTTATGACCAACAATTTTACAATTTGCGTGAACTTGTAAATAAATAAAAGTGCACTGTATCATATGACTTAAGTGGGTCAGGCAATAACTGGGAATTGCCATAAGGAATGGCACGGTCGAATACAAAACAGTAAATCTGGCTAATATACAGCCATGTTATTGAAAAGGAGATTGAATTATAAAATGACACACTGTCTCAAAATGCTAAAACAATACCATTTGTCTTTGGTGCAGATAAAGCATGAGATCCAAAGGCAGCGGGGTGGAGACTCCGGCCAATGGCGTGCTTGGGGTCCCACAGAGTGAGTCGGACATCAGACAGGAGGAAGACATGGGCTTGTCCGTGAAGAGCCTCAAGGCCAAAGTCCAGCAGAAGGAGCCCGAGGACAAACTGGAGGTTGAGGTGATTTCAGAGAAAGAGGTGTGTCTCTTGGACAAGAGTGAAAACAAAAACGGCATAGTGGATTTGTCAAAGAAGGATCTGCTCAAACTGCTGGGCATCATGGAGGGAGAGGTTCAAGTAAGTAAGAGAATGTTTATCTAATGACCTTTGACCCTTTGTTGAACTGTCAAACGTGTACATTTTAGGACAGCATGGGCAGAGGTTAGAAGTCAACTATTTTTTAAGCTTCATGCACAGTAGTTCCTTATTTATATCAAAATGTATCAAGCAGATACAAGTAAATTCTCATGTACTTTTTCGAGTACCTTTTCCTCTGGCAATACTGTCAGTAGATAAGTGCATTTATGTTGCTCATCAACTCAATAGCTCCATCTAGTGGCCACAAGAGGTAATTGATGTCACAGAAGACCGACACGTGTTTCGGTCAGCTTTTACATATTTCATATTTAATTTTTTTAAATGCAAATTGCAGGTACAAAATATGCTCAGATATGTTGTGTGAAATATTTTGTGTATTTTGCCAGGCCAGAGAAGATGTCATTAGCATGCTGAAGTGCAAGCAAACTTCTCCGGAGGCCCTCGAGTCTCGCTATGGCTCTGCCACCCCTGCTTCAGCTCTGCAGGCTTTGCAAAGAGACAGTATCGTCACAGGCACTAAACATCACCAACCCAGTGTTTACCAGAAACCTATGGTGGAGGTCAGTGCAACTTTACATAGTGTATTGTATAATAATATGGTGTATATATGAATCATAGTTGTAAATGCTTTACCTCAGCTGGAGCGTCTCCAGGAGAAGCACAAAGACACGTACAGGAGGATGTTGGGTCAGCTGCTGCTCGCGGAGAAGTGTCACCGCCGCACCGTGCACGAGCTGGACACAGAGAAACGCAAACACGCAGACTACATGAACAAGAGCGACGACTTCACCAACTTGCTGGAGCAAGAGAGAGAAAGGTGAGGGGGAAGGTACTGTGGACTGGCTGTTTGCATAGCACTATCTGCAGGTTTGGACCAAATGGCCTTTTCCAGTCAACTGACATGTTCTAGGATGTTCCAATAAGGCTTATGTGGAACAGCACCGCGTCTTGGTTTTATTACTCAATGTTTAAACTAATATACTATAATTCATTTGCATATTTTGTATGCTCAAAGTCGCTTTAAATATTTGTGCATTAATCACTCATTGTACAGTATTAAGCTACTTGTAGCCACCTTGTGGCAGACTGTCACACATTCATTCATAAAAGTGGGCAAATCTGTAGGCCTGGGTCGGGGCAAAATCACCACCCTTGTTTTTTGAGGATGAATTAGAAACTGTCACAAATTTAAAACTGACAGCAGTTTTTATGGAAAAATGTCCAATTACATTCTAGAGTGTATAGGGCCGGGGGAGCATGATCTGGTACAGGCCTAGTACAACTCTAGTTGAGGACAGTGTTGTGTCATTTGGATGTACCCAGTGTAAACTAGAGAAAGGCTGAACTACTATGCCCTCTGTGAGCAGTGGGAGCATGTGAGAGGCTCCCATGACATCATGTATATAGTGAGGTGGATTCAGAGGTGCTGACCGTTCTGTGTGGTCAGTGCAGCTCAGAACATAAGCAGTGTGCCCCAGCACAGAAAGGCCTGGTTACATCACATGGGCCTCAGAGATCAAACAGGCCAAAGCTATAGTGTGTATGGATGTGTACGAGAGAGGGGCCCTAACCTACTAATTAAAGCTTTCACAAATGAGAGCTTCTAATGGCCATTTCTTGCTGGAGAATGTACTCAATGCATTTCCCACAAGGCAGTCCTGGCAGACAGTCGATGTACACATGAGCTGTGAACAACATTTCCATTTCCACATCCGTTTGTTTTTTCTTTTTCTTGACCTGAGACATAAAATCTATTCTAAAGCCTTCCTCTAATTTTGTCAATTTGATGCCAAATATGCAGATCTGCATTGCCTCTTTCCAGATCTTGTGTAGTTTAGTTGTAAGCCTCACATAGGGATCACAACTGTAGCCCTCACTTGACCTTTGATTCCCTGCACCTCTGACATCATTGCTTTGACATTTTCAAAGTTAGACGCCAATTCCTAGAATGGCAATGATATGTGACGATGTAAGTATGAATTTTGAGATCTGAAAGCTATTCCAGTACAGTAACCAGCCAAGGGCAAGCTGAGCCAAAAGGTAAAATGGTAACATGAAGTCAAGTACACGTACAGTAAAAATAACTGCAGTATTTTAAACATTTCACTTTGCAAGGGCACTTCATCATATCTGATTTTTATTTTTGGTTTGTTGTGTAACTTAAGTGGCAAACAAGCAGCAATCAACATTTAGAAATAGTCTTACAGGGTTAGAACATAAAGATACTAAAAGAACACAAAACTTAAATAATTAGATAAGAACCTCTTTGGTATTTATGGATTTCAGACAAACAAGGTGAGGACCTATAAAGGACCATTCTTCATTCAAAAGATGTAATATTGTGATTATTGCTTAATTGCTATGATCACGGTGGCCAGTTGCCATAGCTTGATGAAACCCATGAATACAATGTAATTGTTATATAAAGCATTGACATGACAGTGTCCGTTGTTTTATCATTTGAAATGTATTCTTACAGTGGCCTGGCTATGCACTTGTCAGATTTACTTTGCACAATAGTCAAACACTCCTCCTGAGGATCCGCCTCCTCACTGCACAATGTAGAGCAGAGCATCTCTCCCTCACACGACATGCTTATATGGGTGAGATGACATCATCTAGCTCGAGCTGGAGTTCACTTATGTGTGGAATAAATTTTCATGTTTTTAATGGGACTTTTTTTTTGCTTTCTTAAACTGCTTTGGTTAAATTGATCTGCACAAGGTGAGGAGCGTGTTAATGTTTTTAGGTTTCAGGTTTTGGACTCTTAACTTGTGGCTGTGGACATTTCCTTCTAACATGATGCAAATTGATTTGTTTAACTCATTTTGCTATGCAAAATTGTCTGGGTGACTTTTACACAGATGGCTGTCTGTGGGAGTGTACAAATGCATGCTACTTTTCAAACATTTTGTCAGAGGCGCAGATGTGAATGGCCACGAACAGCATACACAGAGACTGAAAGAAAAAAGAGACCACTCGGTGAGGGGGCATTCAATTTTTCCTCTCTTTTTAACTTTTTTTTTTTTTTTTTTACAGACATGCCCGGAAAATGGGAATATGTTTAGTGTGATAGTATTAAAGCATTATGTACTTAAGATGATAAACAAAATGCTGTGACTTACATTTCACTTTGTTTTAAATTAAAAAATGTGTTTTTTTTTCTGTTCTTTTGGTAGATTAAAGAGACTCTTGGAAACTGAGAAAGCCTACCAGGTAAAGAAGGAGAAGGAACACTCCAAGAGGCTAACCAAGGTGAGGGAGGAACTGGTCAAGCTGAAGTCCTTTGCCCTGATGCTGGTCAATGAGCGCCAACAGAACCTGGAGCAAATGGACCAACAGAGTCAGCGGGTCCAGGAGCTGAGCCAACAGTTGCAGCATCGAGAGCAGGCTTTGAAAGAAGAAAAAGATCGGGCACGTGAGGATGGGCACAGGCTGCAAAATCTAGAGACTGACCTAAAGGACAAATCTGCCAAACTGAGCCAGCAACATGAGGAGATGAGCACCAAATTAGCCAATCATGAAGCCAACAACCGGCAACTCAATGCCAAAATTCTAGCACTGAATCACAAAGTGGAAGAATTGGAGTCACAAAACAGTGCACTGAAGAAATCCGAAGAGGAACTGATGGAACTTAGAGACAAACTGAGCAAAGGAGAATGCAGTAACTCAAATTTGACCACAGAGTTGGAGAATTTGAGAAAACGGTTGATGGAAATGGAAGGAAAAGATGAGGAGATCACAAAAACTGAACATCAGTGTAAAGAGCTGAGAAACAGGCTGCAAGAGGAGGACTGCAAAAGCAAAGACCTCAGGCTGGAGGTGGAAAAACTTCAGGCGAGAATGATAGAACTGGAGAAGTTGGAAACAGCGTTCAGCACCAGTAAAGCCGAGTGTGCGCAGTTACACACAGCACTGGACAAAGAGAAGGGCCTCTCCAAAGAGCTCTCAGATGAGGTTGTAGCGCTCCGCATTCGTTTAAAAGAGTTAGAGTCTTCAGAACTGAAACTGGAAAAGTCTGAGCTAAGCCTTAAAGATGATTTAAGCAAGCTAAAATCTTTGACTGTCGCCTTGGTGGATGAACGCAAAGGTCTGATGGAGAAAATCAAATCCGATGACAAACAAAAGGAGGAGTTGAACAAAATGGTGGAGGTGGAGCAGGGTAAAGTTATGGATGTCACTGGGAAGCTTATAGAAGAAAGCAAAAAGCTCTTAAAACTGAAATCTGAAATGGAAACCAAAGTGCAGACGCTTAGAAGTGAGAAATGTGATCTGGCAACAAAACTAGCTCATGAATTAGATGTAAATAAGGATCTTAATTCTAAGATTACCCAAATGAAAAAGAAGATAGATGGATTAGAGGCAGAGAAGTTGTCTGTGAAGAATTCTGTAAAGAGTGACTTGGGAAGAATGCCTGATTCACTCAAACAAGACAACAAAGTCAAGGAGCTGACATTTGAGATTGAGCGTCTGAAAAATCGGCTAAAACAACTTGAGGTGGTGGAAGGAGATTTGATCAAAACAGAAGACCAATATGACATGTTGGAGAAAAAGTTTATAACTGAACAGGATAAAGCCAATGTTCTTTCTCAGCAGGTTGAGGAGATGAGGAGTCAGATAGCACGCAACAAAGCCATAGAAAAAGGTGAAGAAGAAAGCCAGGAAGAGGATCTCAGGCAGCGATGTAGGAACGAAGAGGTTAAGAACAGAGAACTACAGGCTGATGTTGTAGCCCTGAAGGAAAAAATTCACGAACTCATGCACAAAGAAGACCAGCTTTCCCAGTTACAAGTGGATTATTCTGTTTTACAGCAAAGGTTTTTGGAGGAAGAGGAGAAAGCCAAGAACATGGGCACTGAGGTCTTCCACCTGACTAAAGAACTAGAGATAGTCAAGCGCCACAGTCGTGCTATGAGGCCGAGTACGAATGGCAGAAGAATGATGGACATAGCAACGACATCTACTGGAGTACAAACAGAAGGGCTCTCCAATGGGGCTGCAGATGAAGACACCCCTGCAGTGTTTATAAGAAAATCTGTTTTGGAGGAGAATCACATCATGAGCAACCTTAGGCAAAGATGTCTCAGAAAACCGTCCGAAAAATCTATTGAGCGCTTACCATCATCTGGCAGCGATCTGAAAAAATCATGGATTCCCTGGATGCGAAAAAAGGATAGCGTTACCCAGGATACCAATCTGGAAAAGCACATGAATGGAGATGCCCTACCATCTGAGCTAACCATGACCCAGAAGCAAGGCCAGCCTCTGCATATACGAGTTACACCAGACCACCAAAACAAAACAGCAACTCTAGAAATCAGCAGTCCAACTGAAGATGCATTTTCAAGTTCAGTCCCTCTTAGCCCTAACCCATCTCATTCCCAACCGAAATCCAGGATCACTATCATTCCCACTGCTACTCCTGGTCATAGGAGGTCCGGATTTGGTTGCCATGTTCCAGAAAGAGCCAAATCTCCAGTGTCTATCACCACTATTTCTAGAGCCAAGTCTCCAGAAAGCAGCAGATCCTCTTCCTCCGCCTCCAGCAGGCCTTTGTCCCCTGTTTCTATCATGACGGTCAGCACTGTGGTTCCTGAAGGATCCCCCTCTCCTGAGCCCCAAGAGATGACTATGGGACGGGCTGTTTTTAAAGTCACGCCTGAGAAACAGATGGTTCCTATGCCGATAAGAAAAGGCCCTAACAACAGTAACATCATCACCACGGAGGATAACAAGATTCACATTCACCTTGGCAACAACCCAAAAATGGCAGTCAGGCAGGTGGCTTCAACAGCAGAGAACAAAGAGATGACCTTATCAACCGGGACAGTCCTGCGCTCCCCTCGGCAAATCACAACCACTACAACAACAGCTACAAGGAGCGCGCAGAGCAAAGTCATGAGCAGCATCACCATTACCCCAGTTTCATCAGCCACCTCCAGACATACACAAAACACGGTAAGATGACCTTGATTTCAAAATATACATCCTATCAAAAACTAATTTAGTCATAGTTACATTTTTTGTAGACCTCATGAAGTTATCTCAGTGAGAAGAAAAATATCTAATTGCAGACATTCAATTAAATATTAATTTGAGTCTCATATTTTGCATATTTACAACAAATAAAATTAAAAGTGGCGTTAATCAAATTCAAACTGGGACTAAACATTAAATAAATCTGCTACAAAATTGTAATTTCAAAGTATAGACTAAACACTTGAACTCATCTTTGCGGACTTTAGGTGTTTAGTCATACCTTAATAATGTAATATAATCCAGTATTTAGTGCCTGTTCTGTCTAATAAACTGCACCTCTTCTATGTCCATCAGGCTGCACAGGACACTCAGGGGTCTCGCACAGGGCTGACTCGAATCCCAATGTCCAAGAGCCTCAAGACGGGAAAGGCAGTGCTGGGATCTCTGGGAATCTCTAGTGGAGTAAAAATGGAAAGCCAGTCTATGAAAATAGAGGTTAAAAAGTCCATAGCTAGTACCACTTTGGAAAAAGGAGTAAAATTTTGATATAAAAATGACATTGAAATGTTATATTGCCCTCATCTAACCTAAGCATCTGATGTACATGTGCATATAAATAATTTGTATGTCCTCATTTAGATAATCATAAATACTTGTATCTAGGCTAAAGATGTTATTTATCTTATCAATATTTCAATCATACTTAAGTGTAAGGTTTGCATTTTTGTCATACAGTGATTGTGGTGGGTTTTTATTTTCACACTGAGCTGCTACTAACTGCCTTTAGTTTTGTATTTTATATGTAAATTGTCTATACATTTTATAAGAAAATAAGACTTTGTGTAGATCAAGTTTGTGTTAATAAATTATGGATTCATGTAAAGGATTTGTACTGAAATTGTGTTTTAAATAAAGACTTTGATAATCTGTGTATTCATTCATTTATAAGCATATGAGGAATCTATATGATCTCTCCAAAAAAATGCATAATGATTTAAAAGCATTCAGCCCAAGAACATCTTAAACAAGAATAAGAAATAGGCAACTTAAACAAATATTGACTGCCTGTTCAACACTGATATGGTCAAGTGATTAATAATAATACTGTCACATTTAAAACTCATTTATAACGTTGCATAATATGTTTATAACGTGGATGTAATCCTCTCCTCTGGTTTGTGCGCGCTCTCATAGATCCACGTGCACGCTCAGATGGGCGTGGGCTTTGCATTTTCCGCTGTGACGTAACACTGCGATGCTTGAATCTGATTGGTTCAGAGGTTTCCGGGTTCTTCTTGGGATGAGATTAACAACACGTAGAAGTCAACATTTCATAAAATAGACAGATGGTTAGGTAAGATGAGGACGACGCTACCATGTTGATACACTTTTACTTTTTATAAATGTTGTTGTTGATTTTAGCATTTTTATAACAACGACGAAGTCTATAGACTAAAGAACTAAAGTGGATTACTGCGCCCGAATCAGATGATCACAGCCATGATGGCGTCAAGCTACAACGCGAAGGAAGAGGACGGACACCACTCTGGAGCTGCGGGTCACGGTGGAGCGGGCGCTGTCAAAAGTAGAAAACCGGACAACACTGCGTTTAAACAGCAGAGACTCCCGGCTTGGCAGCCGATCCTCACGGCGGGCACCGTGCTCCCGGCCTTCTTCATTATCGGGCTCATCTTTATCCCCATCGGCATCGGCCTGTACGTCACTTCAAACAACATCAAAGAGTTCGAGGTGAGCATATACCCGAGTAACACATTTTAATTATAATATTTCTATTCTATTCTTTGCTTAAAACCACCCCAGTTTGCTATTTGTAAGTTGTTTTCCATATTTGACGGTTTCTCGCTCAGGCACCTGTTGAAATAACCATATTTTTCCTTAATATATTTTAGTAACCTAGTACTTCCATAGCAACAGCATGTTAATTAATGAATGATTGCCGTATCGTTTCCAATCACATAATAAATGCTGTTTGTTGTTGTTGGTGGTGTTTTTTGTTTTTTTTTAAACTGTATAGTATTGCTTAATAATGGGTACATTTTGTTCTTAGATCGACTATACAGGTGTGGACAGTAACAGCCCATGTTATGCCTGTGCCAGGAATTTCAGCTGGAACAGCACAACACCATGCACATGCTCCCTGAATTTCACATTGGAGCAGCCCTTTGAGGTGAGCCAGAATGTGCTGACAATATGCGGTAATATGAATAATAGATGCCCCTTCCATCAGAATTGATAGAGAAGAACCTTTGTGTACAGTACAGCAAAAAGGGGAAATATCTCCCTGGTGCAACTGTCCATTAGATTCTATTTTTGTCCAAGGCGGGCATTGAATGTTTGCAAAGCATTCATTACTATTGATTCTTGTAGTCTTAAAATGTTCTGTAAAAGGTGCTGCCCGAAAGGCTGC